TACCCAAAGGATTATAAATCATTTTACTATAAAGACACATGCACAATGGCACTATTCACAATACTAAAGACTTGGAACCAACCCAAATGTCCATCAGTAATAGACTGGATAAAGAAAATGTGGCACATATATACTATGGAATACTATGCAGCCATTAAAAAGGATGAATTTATGTCCTTTGCAGGGACATGGATGAAGCTGGAAACCGTCATTCTCAGCAAACTGTCACAAGATCAGAAAACCAAACACCACATGTTCTCACTCATAGGTGGGAGTTGAACAATGAGAACACGTGGACATATGTAGAGGAACATCACACACCAGGGCCTGTTAGGGGGTGAGGGACTGGGGAGGGATAACATTAGGAAAAATATGTAATGTAAATGACAGGTTGAGGGGTGCAGCAAACCACCATGGCATGTGTACACCTGTATAACAAAAGTTCACGTTCTGCACATGTACCCCAGAACTTAAAGTATAATTTTGAAAAGTGCAGCTTCCTGACTTTGACATTATACATAGTTATTCCATCTAAAGTCTGAAAAGTGGAGTTGGGGGAGGGGCCATTACGAACAATTCTCAATTATTTCTTGGCAGATAAACCAACTGTTTCAAAGAGTCTGAAAACTGCTTGATCTCTTTTTTAAGCAACAAGCAATACAATCTCTGTGATCCCATCATTACTGTTCATTTCTTCCAGGAGAGGAATAACACACTTCTGCCTTTAATTGTCAAATTATCCCCATTTCTGAATTAGTGGAATATAATTTAATGTGATTTTATGATGATAAATTTAGAGTCATTTTCTCCCAGGTACTGCTGGGCTACGATAAAATGAGATCTGAATTACATCAAAATAATTTAATTATTCCAAGAGAAGGGGTGACTGTCGGAATTTTTTAAGTGGGTGCGTAATTTAGATAACCTAGATGCAGATAACCTGAATAAAGCATTTAACTCAGCACATTAATATTTTAACGTGATCATCCTGAACAGTTCGGGCATCACAGGTTCCTACAATACACATTTGCTGTATATCTGGGAGAGTTACATTTCCAACTGGGAGAAGGGGGAGGCTAATGAATATACAAATGCTAGGACAACTCTCTCCCATCCTCTGTGAGGGTAAGCTGCCTTCCCATGTAATTTACCACTGACGACATCATCGTGGTACTCACTGTGCCCTATAGTGAGTGAAGACTGTTCTAACACCAGTACCAACCACAGAGCCTGACACCTAGTAGGTTCTCAGAGATCTATCAAGTCCATAAAGCCATGAATAAATATTATATTTCTGCACTTGTCTAGAAGTCAGACTTCTGATCTTATTCTCCTTAAAAGACACATAAAAACGTTCTTTAGGTGGTGTGGTGGCCAGCCAAGCCTCTTACTCCACAGGAGGGGCACTCACACTATGTCATACCTAACACTTTACCAAGGGTGGTGGTTTGGATTTTCAGTCCTTGACATAGAGTCGGTAAATCATGAGAAATAGAGGAAATCTATCCGGGCAGGGACAGTGTCTCAGGGAAGGGACAGCTCTGAAGAAGGCAGAGAGGTGAGAAGAGAAAAGCAGACTCACGTCACAGAACAGGTCCACCCAAGCAGAGGTGAGACCCTCAATCCCCTCTGAAGGCCATCCATACAGGTTCAGTTTAACAGGGCAGGGAAGCATATCATTTTCAAGAAACTCCAATCAAAAAAGGTTTGGGGTTGTTTTTAATTTTGGCATTTGAGGGGAAAAACTTCAATGATCTGAAATGCCACATTCCCCAACTATGCCAAACAAGGTACACTGCAACAGTAGTCAAAGTAGTGACTGCATTGTTTTAGAGTTGTTGAATGACTAACTCTTAAAGTGGTACCAAGTTTCCTTTTAAGACTATTTAACTTTTGGGATCCATGTTGCCTCATTTCAATAATTATCTAATTACCTAAATAACTTCTTCAAATTCTCCTTCATCCTAGCTCTCTAGAGCTCTAGATCTCTTACAGCCACTGCAGATAGGGAAATAAGAACTTCCCAGCACTTGAGAATAGATGAGCTGGCTGAAAACCTGTGTGGTGAGGGAAACTTCATTTAAAAGGAAAAGGAGAGACACACAGAACAACGCATTTAGGCTCCATCCACATCACCTCGGGCTGCAGCTGGCTCTGTGCTTCCAGTCAGATCGCTTCCATGGGTGGCCTCTGCCACAAAACACTACAGGTCCTCTGCTCCTATCCAATGGTGGACAGAAAAATCCCAAAGCCCAGCAAGTTCAACGTCCAGAGAGCCAGGGTGGCAAATGCTCCAAACTAACCCTCACATCTGGGCACACTGCAGACCCATTAGGGAGCACTAACGCAGAGACGGCAACAACATCAGACAAGGGACCCAGGGACCACGGTCCTGCCCTGTCTTCACACCATCTAGCTGTGTAAGCTTGAACAAATCTACTGCCCCTCTCTGGGCCTCTCTTCTACAAGATCTTGTAAGTGGGAGTCCTACTTTCCATTTGCATTCCACGGGCCTCACAATAGAATTGAGGTTTCTGTGTCACTAATGGGCACCTCCTCTGCCCAGCCCCTTCTCGCGTCTTGTTCCTCCTCCCCATCCCACCCCGCCAGCAAAGGGGTTAGTTGTCCTCAGGAGTTGGACTACCCGTGGCAGCTCTACCTAGGTGAGGGGCGTGCCTGTGTCGCCAGCACAGGGACAAATACCTGTCCAACGGTGATGGGAACAGTTAAGCGTCAGTATGTATAAGGGCCCAATGCATGTTCAAAACATGCCCACTGGCAAATGCCTTACATATCAGGCTCCCAACCATACAGTTGCAATTTCTATCTTTCAAACTAACTATAAATTATAAAGATGGCACCCAAATACCTGTATGCCCATAAGTAGGAAAAGGTAAACTTTTTTAATTCTATCACAATAAATTCTAGATCTTTGATAGACTGACTGAAGGATGTAAAATGTCAAAAGGTGAGACGCTCTCATGTGGCTAAACATCCTCCTATTGCAGAGACAGAACTGAGCCCAACAGCATTCACCTGCTGGTGAGAGGCACCCAGGGGCAGGCAGATGGTTGCACCATTCTCAGCGTCAGCCTCCTCCCCAGTGCAGCGTGGGGGAGAAGATGGTGCACGGCGCCTGGGAGGCTGCGGCCTAAAGGCACACAGTGGGCAAGAGACTACTAGGCAGACCCCCGCCAGCCTTCCATTCTCCTGCTTTGGGGCCAGGACTCTCCTTGTGAGCTCTGTCCTGGGAGAAGTGCCCTTCCCAGTGCTCCTTATCAGTGTTTGTGAGGCATTCTCTCCAGTCCTCCTCATTAGCATACCTTGGCCAACCTTTGGCTCATAGAAAAACTCTTTGCTCTTCTCTGAACAATTTATTTTCCACAGTTGAGCAAATGACTGATGAGGTGGCCACACTCATGACCATACTCATGTTGGTGGTGGTGGGTAGGGGATGTCCTGGATAAGGAGAGCATTGGGCAACGCCCCCTCTGGCCTCCCCAGTCCAGGGAGCTGCAACCACTATGGGAATCTTGTGGGAGGCCAGAGTAGTCCAGGGTTTCCCTTTGGGCAATCAGCATTCCAACCGTGCCTCCTGGTCCCAAGACAACAAGACTCTGGAGAACTAAACTACCACCATGCACTTCCCATTCTGCCATGTGCCTCAGCCGAGGGTCCTGCTCTTCCTGCATATTCAGGCTGATCTTTCTAAGGAGTAGCTTGCACGGTGCTAGCACTGCCCCCCTTATCCCAGGCAGCACCTTCCTGTGCCAAGGGAACTTCAGCCTGCCCTTGTGCTCAGGCCCCTAGGCTCAGGTTAGCTGACATTCCCAGCAAATCCTACAACTTCTCCTTTCCTTTCATGGATATAAGACACAGTATTATCAGTCTCATTTTTAAAGACATTTCTAAGAGTGTCCTTTCTTTCCCAACACTAGTAAGGACAGTAAGTGGTGTTTCCTGGGAGGGACCGTGTGGTGTTACTTTTGCACTACTACAAGGATTCTGAAGACTGCCAGGCTTGAAGTGAAGAACCATATTACCTGCCTATCCCAGCCAGATGACAGTGGAAAAGGGGCTTCATCTCTGAGCTGTTTTCCAGCGGTACTGGGCACATTCCACCCCTCACCCTGACTCACAAGGTGTTGACAATAATGGACACTGCTCTGTCTTCTGCCATGCTTTGAACAACACTACACCATCCATCAGACGGATTCATCCCAAAGGTAAAGCACATTGCTTCTGGAAGGAGAAAGGTAGTATCTTTTTTTTTTTTTTCTCAGATTAAGTCTTGCTCTGTTGCCCAGGCTGGACTGCAATGGCGCAGTCTCGGCTCACTGCAACCTCTGTCTCCCGAGTTCAAGCGATTCTCCTGCCTCAGTCTCCTAAGTAGCTGGGATTACAGGTGCCCGCCACATGCCTCACTAACTTTTAGTATTTTTCAGTAGAAACGGGGTTTCACCATGTTGGCCAGACTGGTTTTGAACTCCTGACTGCAAGTGATCCACCTGCCTCAGACTTCCAAAGTGCTGGGATTACAGGCGTGAGCCACCGCGCCCGGATGAAAGGTAGTATTTTCATGCTCCTTTCATTTGATCTCATTTAGAAGGTGCTTGAGGAATAGAGAGGACTGGGTTTTCTCTGGGATTATAGTTAGGCATCACTTAGTGACCGGGACGTGTTCTGAAAAATGTGTCGTTACACAGTTTTGCCATTGTGATATCACAGAGCATACACACACGACCCTAGATGGCACAGCCTACTCCCCACCTGGGCTGCACGGTATGGCCCATTGCTCCGAGGCCACACTCCTGTGCAGCATGGTACTGTACTGAATACTGGAGGCAACTGTAACACCATGGTAAGTATTTATGTATCTAAACATATCTAAACACAGAAAAGGTGTAGTAAAAATACGGTGGTATAATCTCATGGGACCATGACCACATACATCGTCCATCACCGACAGAAACATGGTGAGGTAAGGCACATGACTGTACCTGCAGCCCCCGCCGTGAGGTCAATGGCAGCCTGGATGGCAGCACTGGACTTCATGTTTGCCCGCTCTTCTGCTGGTCTCGTGGAAGGCAGCTCTCTGGACCTTACCACAGGCACCACATATCCCTGGGGGAGGCAAGAGTTCACCATTAGTCCAGGTCTCTGCAGCCTCCCGTTCTCTAGGCCTGCAGCCAAATTACTGAACCCAAACTTCTGGGATCCATGAACTGGGCTCCACATTGCTCCAAAGGAAAGGGGCTCCAGGTATCAGTGCAGCTTAGCAATTGACGGCCCCCTAGAAAGCTCACAGATCAAAAAGCTCCCCTGCATATCAATGCTATGGCCACCAGCAGCACTTCAACCAACTTTCTGAAAACTGTAAAAATGAACACCAAACAAGCAAGCCAACCACAGTTGTACCAACCACAGCAGACTCTTTTTTTAGAGGCCTAAGTTGAGCTATCAATTGAATAGGCTCAGTTCTAAATGCAGACAGCAGCCCGTGCTGGGTGCCTAAGGGGATGTCACAAGACAGTAGGTCTGGAGAGGAACACTCAGGCAGCCAAGGGTGAGAGCTGCACCCTGGATCACACACGCCTTGGTGAATGCCTGCTCTACCTGTGGCTCCTTTGGCCTCTACACCTGCGAGTCCTCATCTGTACAAGGCAAATAATAACAATATTACAAAACAAAGGCATTCACAAACAGCCACATGAAACTGATGGGATGCTCCACTGTGCACAAGCGATAGAACAAGGCCCGGCACAGAGCACCAAACATCTTCCTATCACCACAATCCACTAGCCCTTCAACTGTCAACGTGCACAGGAGTCGCCTGGGGGCCTTGCTAAATAAAATGCAGCTTCTGATTCAATAGCCTCGGCTGGGACCAGAGATTTGGCCTGTCTTGATGAGCTCCCAAGTGAGGTGGACAATGCCAGTCCACAGACTCACACTCTGAAGTACACCACCTGGGTCTTTGTGTCCAAATTTGCTTTATAACCTGAAGCAACCTACCCCCAATTTTTTTTTTTTTTTTTTTGAGACGGAGTCTGGCTCTGTCGCCCAGGGTAGAGTGCAGCGGCCATGATCTTGGCTCACTGCAAACGCCACCTCCCGGGTTCAAGTGATTCTTCTGCCTCAGCGTCCCAAGTAGCTGAGATTACAGGTGCATGCCACTGCACCAGGCTAATTTTTCTATTTATAGTAGAGACGGAGTTTCACCCTGTTGGCCAGGCTGGTCTTGAACTCCTGACCTTCAGTGATCTGCCCACCTCAGCCTCCCAAAGTGCTGAGATTGCAAGTGTGAGCCACCTTGCCCAGCCTGGAGCATGTATTAAGTATTCTAATTATCAGGCCTTTCTTCTGGAAATCTTGATTCAGTATGTTTGGGTTGGAGCCTTGGGCATTTGGGAAAACTGGAATTTATTCCTCTCCCTTCAGACAAAAGTCAACTACTGCTGAGGCATGGGCTTCATAAATGTTGACTAAAAGATCCAATTCAACAACCAGTCCTGTATACTTTTCAAACTGTGCAAGTAACATTATGTGAATAATAAGGAACAATTTATTCTTCATCGCACTGAGGAGCCATGTGACCCAGTTGTGCTGGATCAGAGATGAACACCAAGTGACTTCCTAACACCAATGTCATCCTGAACATCAACAGAAAACATTGGCCACTGAGAAGATTTTTTAACCATTTGAAGCATTTTGCCAATGACCGGACTTCAAGAATCTTCCTTAATTTACAAAAAAAAATTTTAAACCAGTGGCAACAAAGGCACAGTACTTAACAAAGCAACTAAGTTAGAAGTGCAAGACACTGATTTATATGTTGTTGATAGACATGGAGAGACAGGACCATTTACTAGGCTGAAAAGGTGATGGCCTTCTGGTATATTCCTAAAAAAGTATATCAGCGTCCTAATCCTTTTCCAGAAGGCAAACTAAGGCCAGAGCAAGACAAGGTCTCCTAGACCACACAACTAGTCAGTGACAGAGGAGCCAGTTCAGTCCTGTCCTTCAGGTCTGTGCCTACAAACCAATACTTTATCCGAGTATTCCAACCTGGGCAGAAACATCACAAAACACCCAGCCCTGCATTTTAGGGGGGGAAGAAAAGGAGGCAAAAAGGAGGAAGAAAAAAAAATGAAGGCAACTGAGAAGACAGGGCATGTCCAGTGTGGCCTCCCAGATAAACCTCAATGCGTTGCTTGCTTTTGGCGCAGCCACTTCCTTTGTAACTTGGAAGGAAAGAAAGTCACATCACATTGTATTCTATCTGCCCAAGTGAATTGAACCCCGTTAGGTGAGCCAAACTTAAACACATTAAATTCTACAAATAACCACTTGTAGAATTATTAAGATAGAAAACAATGGTGGGCACTAACAGATTCACTCAGGATTGGGTAGTTAACAGGTTAATTCAGATTATGTGTAGCTCTAGCTGGGAGAAGACACAGGGCTTGGAGGAAGCAAGACTGTTCAGCATGAATTAGAACTGATGTATGAGCTTGCTGTAGCACTCGGAATAGAAAAACTCTTTTCAGCCCCTTTGATCCCTCTCAGACTACACCAGGGTTCAACTGAGGAACAACAGCGCTGACCACCATCCTTCTCGATCCTTGGGGAAATAAACTTTTTGGATGGGGGAGTCAGATGAGGCTGCATTTTCCACCAGGGAACACGAACTGCTGCGGGAAGATCCCAGCTTCTGGCTAAAGCTGGGGCGGTAGGAGCTGCCGGCCAGCTCGCCATCCAGTCCCCAGAGCACGGGCTATAGGGCGCCGGGATGCGACCAGTTTTACCGCCAGGGAGCCGGGCCAGGCGCGCCTCCTCCCCGGCCTCGCAAGGAACAGGTTAGGGAGACGACTTCCAACTTTCTCTGGCCGGCCCTGAACGCTCGCCGCCGCTGCCCAGCCGCCCACTGTCTGGACAGCCTGCAAGTCTCCGTTCAGAAGCGGCTCCGTGCTGCCCAGCGCTGGCGCCCTGGCGGCTCGGAACCCCGCGGCCAAATGACACGACCTGGGGGCAAAGGAGGACAACAGTTCCCACCAGGTAGGCACTGCGGGAAGGAGGCCGACGACCCCGAGATTCCCCGGCGACCCCGGCGGGCCATCCCCGGGCGGCGCGCGGGTCCCGCGGCACGTGAGTGGCGGCTCTTGCAGCTTCCCTGGACGCCCGGGAAGGTCACACCGCCCAGGCGCCGAGGCCCGCCCCGCGCCCAGCTCTTTCCGCTCTCTCTGCTCTCTCTGGTCTCTCTCTCCCCCCTCTCCGCCCGGGGCGCTCCCCAGCTGCGGAGAAGCGGAAGTGGGCGCCCGGCCGCGGCGCGCCCAGCCTACCTGCCGACCCGGGAGAAGGAGGAGGCCTGCGTCTCCGGGTGCTTTCCTGCCTCTGAGCTCCCCGAGACCCTCTCTGAGGCCGGACCCTAGTTAGTCCGCTGGACTAGGGATGAGGACTGGGGACTGGGAAGGTCAGTGATTGGGAGAACTTAAATTTTTAGTTAATTTGATCTTGTTGGGCGACTAATACCTTAATTATAACTTATATTTGAGTAAAAAATTATACTCGGGATTCAAGGTCGTAAGTTAAGATTAAAATTAAGTATGAAAATACTGGAATTGTAAAGATGGAAAGTTTATTACCATTTTTTTTTTCCCAGCCATTTCCCAATCCCCTTCTCCAAAGGAAATCCATCTGATGCCATTTCTGTAAGTGCCCTGATGAAAACCATAACACTGTCAGCTCTGATCTTGTAGTCCCCAAGGAATTATAGGTTCTATCTGTGGTTCTCTGGCATTTTATTAAACAAGTGAAAGTATTCAAGGAAGCTGTTGTTTGCCCAGAGTAATTTTCTTTTATTTTCCCTTGCTTTCCTTGCGTTTTTCTTTCCTTCTTTTTCTTTCTTTTCTTTCTTTCTCTCTTTCTTTCTTTCTTTTTTGACACAGTCTCACTCTGTCGCCCGGGCTGGGGTGCAGTGGCACCATCTCCGCTCACTGCAAGCTCCACCTTCACGCCATTGTCCTGCCTCAGCCTCCCGAGTAGCTGGGACTACAGGCGCCTGCCACCACGCCCGGCTAATTTTTTGTATTTTTAGTAGAGGCAGGGTTTCACCGTGTTAGCCAGGATGGCCTCGATCTCCTGAACTTGTGATCCGCGTGCCTCGGCCTCCTGAAGTGCTGGGATTACAGGCGTGAGCCACCGCGCCCGGCCACACCCTGCTAATTTTTTATATTTTTGGTAGAGACAGGGTTTCACCATGTTGGCCAGAGTGGTCTCGAATTCCTGACCTCAAGTGATCCTCCTGCCTGGGCCTCCCAAAGTGCTGGGATTACAGGCGTGAGCCACCGCGCCCGGCCTGCCCAGAGTAATTTTCTTTAATGCCCTAAGACAAAGGGTCAGAAGGGTCTTGTTCTACTTGAGACAGCCCCTCAACATAACACGCAGCCACCACCTTTCCATTGCTTTGGTTCAGCCTTTGTGTATTGATTTTCATTTTCAATACAATTTTCTTCCTTAAACAGGGCGTGGTGACACATGCCTATAGTCCTAACTACTTGGGAGGCCAAGGCAGGAGGATTGCTTGAGGCCAGGAATTTGAGGCCATAGTGAGCTGATGGCACTGTTGCACTCCAGCCTGGGTGACAGAGAGAGATCTTGTCTCTTACACACACACGCACGCACACACATGGTGTAACTTTCTTTTACAACTTTCAGCCTTGCTTGGATGTGCTGTTGGATTATTACCTCTGTAATTTAAGTGATTTGATTGGTAATAGTGCTTAACATGAATGCACACCTGAATAGACCTCCCAGGCTGTAGTAGATGCCATGATGGGATCAGAGTGCCCGGTAAATGGGCACTCATCAGAATCAGCACTTTAGAGCTCGGGCTTCTGGACCATAATTGAGTTCCAGAAACAAGCCATGGAGCTGGTATGACTTATCCAAAGTGACAGGGAACGTAACTAATTGGAAGCAGATCCAGGAGCCAAAACTACAGTTACAGCAGCCTAGAGGGGTTGGCAATATCACCTGGTCCAGTGGCTTTTGCAGCTTAAGAAAATGAAACTCAAAAGAACTCTGATTAAGGAAGGACAGACTTGGCTGGGTGTGGTGGCTCATGCGTGTAATCCCAACACTGGGAGGCCGAGGCAGGAGGATCACTTGAGCCTGGGAGGTCGACACTGCAGTGTGCAGTGTTCACACCATTGCACTCCAGCCTGAATGACTGACCAAGACCCTGTCTCAAAAAAAAAAATAAATAAATAAAGGATAGACCCTGTTACAGATTAGAAAGAGTCCTAGACTTGGGGCCAGGATGTTTGTGTAAATGTCCCTGTGTGACCTTTAGTAAGTCACTTAACCTTTCGTAAACCCCAGCTACAGCATGACTGCATTACCGGCTCCTCTGAACCCCGTGCTCAGCCTGTTAGAAGAATCCACTGTGCAGGGCACTTGGTACTTTCCCCCAGCCATTGGGCCCCAGCCTAGTGCTTTGTCTTGTCTTCCTTGAGCCCCTTCCTCTCCTGTCCTCACAAGGGCTGTTCCAGACTGTCATCACTGCCGAGCCTTCCACGTTTCTCCTCTCTATGCCTCCCCTGGGCAACCGTCAGCCTCAATTTGTTCTATAAGAAACAATCTGAATTTTGCCCAGATTTTTAATCCCTAATCTACAAAGTTACCTCTTTTTTTGCACAAACTCTCATCCATTTGTCCACTGTCCAACTTACTCGCTGTGTCCCCTTGCCTAGCCCAATGGCTAGGAAGAATGAGGATGAGGGAGAAATCAAGGCTTAGAGAGGCCACGTCACTCCCCAAACTTACACAGGTGTGACAAAAAGAGCAGGGACTCAATAAAGTTCTGTCCGACTCAGAAGGTCAGGCGCTCAGCCGCTACACTGTGCGATGCTCCCTCACAGAGATTCTTATTAAAAGCAAGAGAGCTGCAGGAACTGGAAGTTCTTTCTTCCGGGATAGATCTCCTTCCACAGTATTTTATAAAATCACCT